CAAACCCTTAAGCAGACAGGTGATGGCCCTCCCATTGTTTCAGTAGGATAGTGTTAAGAGGCTATTTTTGGCAGTGGAACATGGTCACTTTTGGGTAATGCAATAGCTTGGTGCGGATCCTATTTTGCATGAGCAAAGAATGGCAGGAGGAAGTGGACAAAAGAGATTGCAGGAGAGGCAAGGGGGAGGGGGGGGAGAGTTTCCAGCTTTATTTTATTATTTTTCCATCACAGTTCAAATGGTTGATGCTTCATAGGTGTTTACATCATATTTATGCAGATGTTGGGATTTCAATGACCAGGATGGCAAAAATGAGTTTTCATCTAAATCAAATCCAACCAGCAAATCTAAGTATGCATAACTCCCAAAGTTATTGGGATATTTTCAATATCTGTAGGGTACTGTTCCATTATTTTGATTTCATAAAAAAGAGAGAATCAACAAAACCTAATAATAAAAGCTTTAAATCAATTATGCTTAGTAAATGAAGGAGGTGGAAATTGAATTGTTTTGACTACTGTTTTAATACAAATGTGACCATTTTATTAGCTATCAGTCAGTACTGAGTGTGTTCCACTGTTCTGGATAATTGAATGTCATTAAATTACTGCAACTTATTATTAGTCTCCTTGAGTTTTTTTTTTAAACAGTTTTAAAAATAGAATAAATGTAGCTAATGCAATTCTATTGCAGATCTGTGGATGCAATTATAGAGTGTAACTGTGGCAAGAAAGTAGCCCTGTGAATGGAAAAACTGATCTTTACAATTCAACATTGTGTTTATCTGTCTAGCTTTATATTTATCTATCTCTGTATTGGCTCCTTGTACAACAGCTAGTTTCTACCTGGGTAAAAGCTGAAGTAGTTTTCCTATGGTGCTGATTACACAGTGCTTCTTAATTTTGTTTGACCAATATTGATTAAAAGCTGGTCAAAAGGCAACTGGTTTTGAAGTCTGGGTTGGTTCCATGCAAAAGGTTGCTAGTTTGTACAAATATCTGAACGTCAGGATCCTTGGTTGAATAAGACAGGAGCAACAGAAAGGTAGAATACTATTGATGATTATGTCATTCTGTCTCACTGATGGATTTACCACTTGTGGCATAATAAGGATATACAGGTCAAAGAGAAACAAAGTGTGGAATCCATTATATTCAAAAAACAAGCCTAACCAGAATATTTCTAGAAAGGACAGAAGACATCAGCTGACCCATTCTGACTTTTGATAAAAGAGGCTTTCTTATCTTGGTATGAATTTTCCAGAAAGAAAGAGAATACTAACTTAAGATCAACTTCCCTGCCTCTACAAACTTCCAGCAAATGGATGAAAATTCATAGTGCCGAAATTTGGCAGAAAAATGACCAACTTTCAGTGGCAATATTTTCATGAAAACAAAGCTGAGATGGGCATGAAAGAGCTCTGCGAATTGAAACACTAACCAACCAAGATCTAACAATTAAATTGGAATACAGTTATCAAATCCATCAGGTCACAAATGACTGGCCATTTTCTCTTTGGAGAGTTATAGATATTGTCTCTGAGAAGTGTTTTTTGTTCTTGACCATAATGTCAGGATGCTCCTCATTAATATTTCCCATTTGTTAAACCCTCCAATGATCTGGCAAGGCTGAAAGAAACACCAGGAGTCCCAAGAAAAGTGGAACCCTTGGTTTAAAGATGATCAAACTTGGAGGGGGGGGGGACCAAAACAAAAAGGGAACAGCATTGGCCAAAGAAAGAGATATTAATGGTGAAAATGTAAACACAGGATAGTTTTACTGAATTCTATTTAATGTTCATGTACATTAGATTAATAGAAATATAGACTGGATCTGTCTTTTTCTTCCTGTGCAATCTCCTTTTCTCGTTCCTGGAATTTAGCAGGAGATCTAGACATCTGCTACTTATATATAATTCTTCAATCCTTTTCCATCCTTTCTTCAGTCTTTTTCCTTACTGGTTCAGTAAGACAGTTCCGTAGCCTGGCAGTAAAATCATGACCATAAAGGACTGTATCCATCTTTTATCCATAGCTTGGATTTGCCAAGCTATGATGCCACTGTAAAATTCCTATGACATGACGCTCCAAGATCAAGTGGAACAGCTGAACAAAACCAGTTTGTGAATTGCTTACACGAATGGATTGCTGTTGCAGAAACTATAATACCAAAGTGGAACAAGGAACAACATTCTTTTCATGAAAATCACCACAAGCCTTCTATGAATTCTCTTCTTAGAAATTTCTCAGGCAGCACTCACATGAGCAAAAAAAAAAAAAAAAAGTATATTTTCTTCAAATCTGTCACCTGATGACCAGTTATAATATAGAGAACATTGGTTATGACAAATAGGGCATCAAATATAGAGAACTGATTCCAGAAAACCCGTTAGAATAGCATCAATTGTTTCTATTTCTAATGTGATATAATTATGCTGATAGTAAATACGATATTTTAAATAGTAGGCTGTTAAGAATACCACATAAGATTTAAGTTTTCTCCTGCATTGTCTAAGTCTTGAAGCAGGACTGAACAAGATCAGGAGATGACAACTTTTTCGACCTCTATCCTAAACCCACTACCAGGAAAAAAAAGACAAATCGTAATGTTATAGTGGTTTCACCTTAAGAGCTTGCAGAATCTTATGCAAGAATAAAAAATCTTATGCAAAAATTCCAAAATCTAGTGATATTTATCTTTATTAAGTTTGCGACACACTGCAGTGCAATGTTAAGGTAAAATTTATGGAGGCCATGTTGATGACTCTTAAGCTGGATACTTTGTTCCATTGCATTATTAAAATAGCATTATTCTAAATAGGAAAAAAAATACAGAGTGCCCAAAGTGTAGAGATCTAAGATGAATAAAAAGTCCAAGAATAAAATTGGTAA